TTTTTTTTTAGGTTTATGTGTAATTGATGAGTGCTCTACACTCATGATATTTATGCCACCTAATTTGTTATTTTTCTAATCTTGAGAGTGTTTTAGAGCTTTTTAATGTGTATTTTGATGTTGTGATGTAAGTTGATGAAATTGAAAGAAATAAGCAAAAGTTGACGAAATTGGAGAAAATGGTCAAACTGTAAGAAATTCAAAGTTCGGGGACTAAAGTGTAAATATTGAAAAGTTGTCTTGAACCTTGCAATGAAGATCCGAGAGTGCTAAGAGTCAATTGGATGAAAAAAAGATGTCAAAGGGATCAAATTTAGTCAAAATATGATCACAACTCAATTTCCAACCGAAAAGTTATGCCTTGGAGTTTCAGCCTCATATTGAGACCCATTTTTATCATAGCAAACGATCAATTTGATGAATGATGCCTGAAGCAAAGTTGTAGCCCTTTGAGTTAATTTTTCAATGCATCTTGAATCACCTCAATTGGACATCGGATGCAAAAGTTATGCTAAAAACATTGAAGGATGTGCAGTCTGCCATTTCGACCGAACCGAGCGTTGTAGCGCCCATATGACTGTAAATTAATAGAATAGGCAGTGCCGCAGCATCCATATTTGGCGTCGAGGCGCTGAATATGTGGAAAAACGTGTTTTTATGTTTTTGAACTCTTTTATTGGCCCAATTCAATGTTATTTCGTCCAAGACCCCTAACATACTAGAAGTACCATTCAAAAATCATATTTTCAGGAGGGATGGAAGGGGGCAAGATTGAAGAATTTAAGCACATAATTTGAATAAGGCAAAAATTGAAAACATCAAAATGAAGGAGGAACAACATCAAGGAAAAAGATTGAAGATCTACCAAAAAGACCAGTTTTTTCTATCATTTTCCTTATGTTGTTTATTATAATTTGTATGATTTTCATTTATTATACCATGAATTAAACAATTTATATAGGGGTTTGATGTAGCCAAATCAAGATTATGGTTTGATGATTTTATAATTATTTCTTTGATTTTTTCGTATATATTTAATTGTATTATGATTCTAATGCTTTCAATTGTCTAATCGACAATTGGATGATTTGATACTAGTCAATTCTGACGCTCGAGAAAGTGGGAAATTAGGTGTGATCATAAGAGTGATACAACATAAAATTTATAGGTTTCGAGAAAAAGTATAAATTTGTGAAGCTTACTCCATAAAAGAATCGGATCTTTATTAAATTCTTGATTTTCAATTTTGAACAGAGATGTTAGAATTTTGATCTAGGGTTAATTTCTAATCGGTGCTCGAGAGAGGGGTTAGAAATACATTAGGATTCTTGCTTTTAAATATAGGAAAATTAATTGGAATAATTTGAATTCGTTAAATCATAATTGAAAGTTAGGTGAAATCAATCCCTAGGCCATCTCATTTGATAATTTGTATTCCCCAAATTTGTCACATCCAATCACGTTAGTTTAGTTTAATTGTTAATTCATAAAACATCAATTTAATCATACATTCATCTAAATAAAGTAGAAATTGCATAATTATAGTACTTTGTGAAAATTAAATACAATCCCTGTGGGTTCGAGACTCTTACTTCAATACTATATTACAAAACTTGATATCGTACACTTGCGATTAAACCACGTTGCACAAAACGCGTGGTAAGTTTTTGGCGCCGTTGCGGGGGATTGTTAATTTGATTTTTACTAATATTATTACCAAGTAATTTCTATTTTAATTTAGATTTTTTTTTCTTTTTAAATTATTTTGCGACGCCTATTTCAGGTTTATGCGAAGATCGAGAAGCGTTGGATTACTACTTGTTGATCCTGAACCAGAATATACATTTCATCTTCTAAGAAGTTTACATAGGTACGAACGTGGAATAATGGCAGAACAAGATGCAAGAGCAGCTCAAGAAAATAATCAACCACGACCTATTCGAGACTATGCCAGACCGATAGTCAATGAGAACTACTCTGGGATTGCACGTCCCGCCATTGCACCAAACAATTTTGAACTGAAGCCGGGGCTCATACATATGGTTCAGTAGAACTAGTTTGGAGGAAGTGTTACAGAAGATCAAATGCTCATCTAGGCTCATTTTTGGAGATTTGTGATACAACAAAAATGAATGGAGTAACGGAAGATGCAATTAGGCTGCGCTTATTTTCTTTGTCCCTGAGAGATAAGGCTAAATCGTGGTTTCAATCATTGCCATATGGCTCCATCACTACTTGGGATGATCTAGCTCAAAAATTTCTCACCAAGTTTTCCCCCCCTTCCAAATCGGCCCAACTTAGAAGTGAATTAGGTCAATTCAGGCAATTTGATTTTGAACCGTTCTATGAAGCTTGGGAAAGGTTTAAAGACTTGCTCAAACGGTGTCCTCAGCATGGTTATCAGAATTGGATATAGATCAAGATTTTTTACAACGGGCTAAATGGGCAGACCAGAACTATTGTGGATTTAGTTGTAGGAGGAACTCTAATGGCTAAAACAGCAGAAGCAGCATATGCTTTGCTAGATGACATAGCTATAAACTGCTATCAATGGCCAAGTGAAAGATCAAACACGAAGAAAGTAGCAGGAATGCATGAAGTAGATCCCATCATAGCATTAGCATCACTTACCAACCAAATAGTTTCACTCACTGCACAAGGAAATCATCAAAAAACAGATTCAATTATGGCCACTTCCTCAGTTCATCTGGAGACAGAAATGGTGAATGAACAACTTCAGTATGTGAATGATCGGAATTTCAATCAAAGGGGAAACTACTCAAGAAACAACTACTATCAGGGGTTCAATAATCAAGCGTTTGAGCAAAAGCCATCACTGGAAGATATTTTAGGAACCTTCATTTTGGAGACTAGATAAAGGTTCAACAAAGATAAGGCAAGACTTGACAACATTGAGAGACATATGACCAACTTGGGGGCTACAATGAAGAATTTAGAGGTACAGATTGGTTAGATAGCAACTGCAATACAATCTCAACAAAAAAGACAATTTCCCAGTGACGCAGAGGTTAACCCACGGGAATATTGCAATGCTATCACCCTAAGGAGTGGTAAAGCAGTTGAAGAATGCAAGCTTAGAGAGGTTGGGGTACCTACATCGGATCCCATACTTGCAAGGGAAAAGCAGACTGAAGGGCAGAAAACTGAGGCGGAGGCAACAAAGAAGATTTATAAGCCTCACTCAATTTCATTTTCGGACAACCCACCTATCTTGAATCCCCCACTACCATTCCCGCAAAAGTATTTGAATAAAGAGTTTGATGAAAAATTCGCAAAGTTTCTGGAGGTGTTCAAGAAAATCCACATCAACATTCCCTTTGCAGAAGCCTTAGCCCAAATGCCTAACTATGCCAAGTTCTTAAAGGAAGTGATGGAGGAATTTGAGAGTGTTAAGCTGATAGAGGAGTATAGTGCCATACTTCAGAAGAAGCTCCTTCACAAATTGAAAGATCTAGGCAGCTTCAACATCCCGTGCAATATTGGTGGTATCACATTTGATAGGGCACTATGTGACCTTGGAGCTAGCATAAACTTGATGCCCTTATCAGTGTTCAAAAAGCTGGGTCTTGGAGAAGTAAATCCCACAACCCTTACCTTGCAACTGGTGGACAGATCGATCACATATCCCAAAGGCATTATTGAAGATGTGTTGGTGAAGATTGATAAGTTCATCTTTCCAGTGGACTTTGTGGTGTTGGACATGGAAGAGGACGAGAAAGTACCGTTGATTCTTAGCCAACCTTTCCTAGTACTGGAAGAGCATTGATTGATGTGCAAGAAGGAAGGTTGACACTACAAGTTAATAAAAAGCAAGTAACTTTCAACATCCATCAATAAAAGAAAGCCCCGGAAAAAGGAAAAGTTGACACTTGCAAAATGATCCAATCGGCTGAAGTAATTGCAAGAAACGGAGAAAAAGGAGAATTATTTTATGATCCGTTGGTGCAATACATGGAAATTAGTTACTCAAAAAGGGATTCATCTATTGATGGTAATGACTCAGGAATGAAGAAAGCAGTGGATTTCATCTTAGCTCAAGAAGTTGACCCACCGACAAAAAAAAAGCTATGTAGATAGGCCTTTGAAACCTCCAAATATTACCAAACCAAAAAAGGTCTTGAAGGCCATATCGAGGTCAAAACAGCCTAAGCTTGTTCGCCATCTTACAATGAAGGAGAATACAAAGTCGAAGATAAAGTTCAGAAACAAGAGAAATGTGCCACCTGAGGATCCACCGTAGGCATTGCTATTGAGTCAAGTTAGTGACTATAAAGAAGCGCTTCTTGGAAGGCAACCCAAGCGTTCTTACCTTTTCACTTATTTTATTTTATTTCTTTTAAATTATAGGAGAGTTTATTTCATTTCAAAAAAGATTTTATTTAGGAATTCATCAGCCCTACCTCGTCTTCCCTAGGTCTTTGAGCAGTCAAGTTGGTTATTAGATATTCGAGCCAAGTAACACTTGTTCCGTGAATTTAATATCTACATTTTGAATTTTCAGAAACTTGATGTCGTGGAACAATCAAACCAATTGACGAAGAGTAATTGGATAAATATCAAGTTTGGGGGAAAAACTAGAAGAAGCATCATAACACCAGACCATCATTGGCAAATCAGACAATTCAGGGAAGTTTTCTTCCTTTTCTTTTAATTTAACATTGGGAACAATGTTTAGTTTAAGTTTGGGGGTGTATCATAAATTTTATAATTGCCTACATATTTTTTTATTATTTTTTGTATTTTGTATGATTTGTGTGCATTTTTTTAATTTTCTTATTAGTGTGCACTGTAAAAAAAAAAAAAAAAATTATATTTTGCATGCTTGTGTGAGTTAGATAGTCTTGCTGATATTGATTTGTATAATTGAGAACATGTGTTGATTTATGAATTGTAAGTTATGTGCTTGAGTTAGATTTTTGCTTATTCGTGTGAAAGGAAAATTATTTTTGCACGTGACTTGATTATAGCGGTGTGCGTGAGTGGGTTGATTCACGTTTATATGTTAGATTAGAAAACTTAGATACTAAACCCAAACAACCGTAAAACATCATTATACCATTAAACCAAATATAGGATGTTTAGATGATTGCACTGTTATAGGGAAACTTGGAGATAAATGTGGATTCCATGTGTACTAATTTTTGTGTGGACTGTCTGAGACTAATAGGATGAAAATTGGGTGAAAATCTTAAGTTAGAGATCGATTTTCGAGAATAATTGTTAAATAAGGGGCATTGCACTAATCACTGAAAAAAAGATCTCAATGAAGACAATCATAATAATTTCATTGTGCATCGTCTCTTCGTAGCTTTTATGACTCGAGTGATTAAGCCTGCAAGGATTTAAAATATGATGCCCTATAATCATCTGATTTGGGAGTCATCGGTCTAAAGCTCGCTACAGGGGTCATTTAGAAAGTTTAATGGAGAGACGTCCACACAAAAAATAATTAAATAATAAATTTATATTGAAAAAAATGGACATCACATGCACTAATTAAGCCCTAAACGCTTGTTTGAGAGGATTAGGCTTTTGATAAGGGATTAAGTAACTCGGTTGATTCTCGGAGGTTGAAGCAGTAAAAAATAAGGAGAATCCTCATTTGTTGATACAATTAGAGCTTGTTTGGGAGTGATTTTGAGAATTGATTGTTTGACCGTTAGGAGGAAAGTGGGGTCTACCTGTGAGAGAAGAAGTCAAATATGACCGCTGGAATAGTGAAATAACGGTCAAAAAATCGATTTTTTGGGTCAAAAAATCGCTCCCAAACAGGCCCTTAGTAAAATCTAACCAAACTTGAGCGGCGTAAGAAACTGGTATTAAAAATCCACCTTAGATTACACAATTGGGAAGAGAAAAGAAAACAAGTTTGAGGGTGTGAATCACACGAGCGAAATAAGAAAATATTTGACTTTTAAGGTCGGGAATTGAATCAACTTACTATTGTATAGCGTTACACTTAACTCTTCACACACACACACACGTTTTGCATTGAATATGTAAGAATTCAGCTTGTGCATTATAACGTTGAAGTGATTCATGACATCAATGCTATGTTTTTAATTTTGGGCTATAAAAACAAGATATCTAGCAAAAAAATTTGTTCTTACGTGATTCTGTAGGTTTTAATTGAGTTTGTGTGTTTGTTTGTTATTTTCTTTAGTTTGTGTTTGCTCGAGGACAAGCAAAATATTAAGTTTGAGGGTATTAATATTATTTTATTGAAAAATGTGCAATTGATAAGAAAAGAGAGAAAAATGATTTATAATTTAATGGGGGCCAAACAAAGACTTAAATTGTTTGCTATATTATCATTCTTTACCACAAATCCACATAATAAAATATTCTACAAACAAATCAATAAAGTTTTCCTACTTTTTAATCATACATTCTCAAAAAATGGAATTCAAAACTCTTTAATTTTTCAACTAATGGGTGTTAAACAGGGTCTTAGTTTTTTGTTTGGCAATTGAGAGCATGTTTGGTTTGAATTAAAATTTGATTTTAATCTAAATTAAAGTCAAACAATCAATATTAACCACATCTTTTGTAGGTCACAACACTTTTCAATCACACATTTCAAAATTTTTATTACAATAAACTAAAAAAAATCTAATTTTAATCTCCATCAAACACTCCGTGAGTATAGTTTTTTTTGTCCCATATTGAAAGTCCAATATTGAGTGCGTTTGACACCCATTTTTATGGGAAAATGAATTTTAGAATTGTAAATTGATAGAAAATGTCTGGATGAAAAATAAATGAAAGTTTTTTATTTACATGTAATATTATTTTAATTAAGAATGTGTAATTAAAAAGAAAAGAGAGAAAAATATATTTTGATAAAAATGAAAATCAAACGGAGCTATAGAAGCGGAGGGAGAATCACCATTAAAAGGATAAAAAATTTGGAAACAAATTAGACCTGGGCTTGTAATTGCAAAGCACAAACCCATCAAAACAGTTTAAAAATTGTATTAAAAAACTATTAAATGGTAAAATTGCACCCAAATTTTTGATTCACGGTTGAATTGGTCGATTTTATAGTTTGTTGAACGTATTTTTCTTTTCCGATTAATGTATTATGATCGGATTGAATTTGAGATTGGTTCAATGTTTCATCAATTGAACTAGTCCGGTAAGATCTTCATAACATTGGTTCCATCCTTCATTAAACTCCAAATAGGTCCTCCAACTTCCACATGCCTCAAATGACATCCATGAACTTCACGTAAATAGCAAATAAGTCCTCTTCCTTTCCTTTAACTCTATTCAAATCCTTCAACTTATAGGAAAGTCAATGTCAATCCTCTAATTTTCTAATTAACTCAAATTCCTTTTTCTTTTAGAAATCTCCAATTAAGGCCTCATTGATGTCACAAATTACTTCCTCAGTCTATCAAAAACTACTAATTTGATCTCTAACTATAATACAAATCTAATACATCCTTCGTATATCAGTAAACCCGAACATGCCCTTCATCCGCATACCTCAACTTTATGTAAGATCCAAATAAGTCCTCAATATATCCATTAATCTATTTACATCCTTCAAACTTAAGTAAATTCCAAGACAGGCCTCAAAATTTTGAATAAATGAGTTACTTCCTTCATCTTTTGGAAATCTCCAATCAAGGCCAAGAAGTTTTGGAGGTTATAAATTACATCCTCAAACTATTAGAAACTACAATTTGACCTCTAACCTATATCTTGATCTTTACGAGAACTTCAAAAAGGTCCTACAACTTCCCTATACCTCAATTTACATCCCTTAAACAAGTCTTATAATTTTTCTAATAACTCAAATACAGTCTTTTTCTTTTCACGAGTCTCCAATGCTAATGGACAACCAATCGTTATCCAATAAATATCTTGTGTGGGAGTGCGGATCTATGTCCAAAAGGAGAGGTCTATTAGCAAAGGAACCCCACTTCTTAGATAATTCACTTCTTGCCTTGCATTAGTTTTCATTTTGCATTATCTGGTCACTATTTTTAAGTTAGTGTTTCGTGAATGCATAGCAAACCTAATGTTCTCATTTGCTCGTTGATCGGTTCAAGTGTTTAAGGCATCAAAGTTTTGGATATCACAAATTATATCCTCAAACTATTGAAAACTTCTAATTTGACATCTAACTTGAAGATAATTCCAATTATACCATTTCTCTTTCCAACAACTCCAAAAAAGTAATCCAACTTCCATGTACCTCAAATTACATCCTCAGTTTTATGTGAAATCCAAATAAGTCGTCAATCTCTCCATAAACTCTATTTACATCCTTCATATTTCAATAAATTCCAAGTAAGTCCCCATGTATTAGAAAAACTCAATTACACCCTTCATGTTTTAGAAATCTCCAACAATGGCCTCAAAGTTTTAGATATCACAAATTACATCCTTGAATTATCAGAAACTACTAACTTGACCTCTAACTTTAAGATAAATCCAAATACATCCTTCATCTTTCTAAAAACTCTAAACAAGTCCTCCAACTCCCGTTTACCTCAAATTACGTCCCTTAACTAAATTCTAAATAAGTTTACCTTTCCATTACTTCTATTTACATCTTTCAACTCATAGCAACGTCCAAATAAGTCCTTTGATTCTCTAATAACTCAAATACATCCTTCTTCTTTCCAAAAACTCCAATTAAGGCCTCAAAGTTTCAATAGCACACTTTACATCCTTAAACTATCAAAAAAACTACCAATAAGAACTCTATCATTCAGATAAATCTAAACACGCCCTTAATCTTTGTATAAACTACAAACATGTAATCTAGTTTTTGTATCCTTTTGGTTAATTTTATGAAGTTACTTTCGTTAGTTAAAGGAGTTTTTAGAGAAAATTGGTCCAACGTGCCCTTTTCTAAATGCATTTTTGAATTAAGAAACTATTTTAAAATTTAATTTTCAAACAAAAATTAATACAACTAACTCCAAAAGAAGAAAAAGCAAAAGTAAAAGTAAAAATCGTGTCAAAGAGACTAGCCCCTGTTTGGCCCCCATTACGTGGAAAAATTAATGGGTGGAATAGTATTTTTTTGAAAAATGAGTGGTTGAAAAAGAAGGAAAATTTTTCGATTTACGTGTAATATTATTTTATGAAAGATTGTGTGGTTGAAAATAGGAGAGAGAAAAATGAAATGTAATGTAATGAAAATTAATGGGGCTCAAACGAGGGCTCCCCGTTTGACCCCCACCATTTTCTAGAAATGAAAATGGGCAGAATAATATTTTTTTGAAAAATAAGTGGTTGAAAATTGAGGAAAAATTTTCGATTTACATATAATATCATTTTATAGAAAATTGTGTGGTTGAAAATAGGATAAAGAAAAATGGAATGTAATGTAATTGAATTTAATGGGGGCCAAACAAGGGCTATGAGGGTGTTTGATATGCATTTTTATGTAAAAATGTATTTTAGAATAGTAAATTGATGCGAACTTTGTGGTTGAGAAATAAGGGAAAAAATTTATTTACGTGTAATATTATTTTAATAAAGAATGTGTGGTTGAAAAGAAGAGAGAAAAAAATAAATTTTGAAAAAAAAATGACCACCAAACGGAGCCTATATTACATACAAGTAGCATCAAAGGCCAAATGTGCTACTTCAATGTGATTTAAACAAATCATCAGTATTCAATCCCTCTCTTGCTGCTTCTAATCCTCACCGTCCATTCAAATTTCAAATGCGCTCAAGACTTACTGTTAACCGCCTCCGTTAAGTCTTCCCCATACCACCATTTTCACTCTTCAATTCGCCTAATCGACACTATCAAAACCCTCAGTTTCTCTGAATCTTTCTTTGTCCCATCATGCCTCCGAAGAAAGTCCCCTTAACCACCAGCAACAATGCCAACATTTTTCCACCCGAAACGGCTGCTGAAAAAACCATCGAGCAAACATACCAGAAAAAATCCAGCTCGAACACATTCTCCTCCGCCCTGACACCTATATCGGATCCATTGAGAAACACAGCCAGACTCTCTGGGTCTATGAAGAGAAACAAATGGTCCAGAAAGCCATCTCCTACGTCCCCGAACTTTACAAGTTTTTTGATGAAATTCTCGTCAATGCTGCCGACAACAAGCAGCGGGATCCGAAAATGAACTCCCTCAAGGTAACCATTGATGCCGAGGCCAACTGCATTAGCGTTTACAACAATGGTGATGGTGTGCCCGTGGAGATCCACCAGGAGGAAGGGGTTTATGTTCCCAAATTGATTTTTGGGCACTTGTTGACTAGAAGTAACTATGATGATCACGAGAAGAAGACTACTGGCGGAAGGAATGGATACGGAGCAAAACTTACTAATATTTTCTCCACGGAGTTCATAATTGAGACGGCTGATGGAAGGAGGCAGAGGAAGCACAAGCAGGTATATTCACATAGTGTTTTTTTCAATTGGATTTTATTTGATCGGAAACTCTTTTTTGGTATTGATTTTGTTGGTATTAACAGTCCCAAAACTTGAAGCAAAATCACAAAAATTAAAAGAACATGATGATTTTTCGCCCGTAGGCTCGGATGTTTACCCAAGAATGGGCTACGTCACCACGTTGAGCTTCCACCAAAGTGGTTAATGCTTTAATCCACTAGAAACCAACAATAAAGTGTCAATACAAGTTTACAAACTTCAGATCTACCAAAGATCAGCCCTTAGACCATATTTTTCTCTCACAGACACGAACGGCAGATTACACCAAGTAATAGTGCCTTACAGTTCACCAAAGAACAGACACAATCTCAACACAAATACACCAAGTTAGATCTCACCAAGAGCATCTAAAACAACTTAGAGATTGCAACCAAAAAAAACCAGGGGTTTTTAGAGAGAAGAAAAATTACAGAGAGCAAACACGAAGAACAAACCCTAGAAGACTCTCGAACAGGCGCAAATGAAAAGTCTAGGGTTAGTATAATGAAAAGCCAGATTCATCCAACGGTTCAGCCGACTCCACTTGGCACAATCTGCTCCGTCCAATCAAAATTGAATAGAATTGCATTTTTAGAGGAACACGAGTTTGCACAGAATGGGGGCAAACTCAGCTATTGGGTTCAATCATTGGGCCATAGGTGTTAAGCATTTTCTTAACAATCTCCACCTTGCTTGACACCTTTGGGTTTTATTGTGGACTAGAGGTTAACTCCTCCTTTGATATCATATGCTCTATGTACCTGCAAAAGAAATTTCAATTAGTAATAACATTTAGGAGATTTAAACAATCCCTAAATTTATATATAGGAAGTATTTTTGTTCCCATATCTGCTGGATTACACTTAGTGGAAATCTTTTCAATTTTTATAATCTCATTTTCTATAATGTCTCTTATAAAATGAAATTTGACATCTATGTGTTTTGTTCTATCATGAAAAACTGAATTTCTACTAAGATGTATAGCAGATTGGCTGTCAGAATGTATTAAAGCATCATTACCAGTAAAACCAATTTCATCCAACAGATTTTTCAACCAAATACCTTCCTTTACTGCATCTGTGGGTGCAATATATTCAGCCTCTGTAGATGACAGGGCTATTATCTTTTGCAGCTGTGATTTCCAACTTATGCAGGTGTCATTTAAGGTAAATACATATGCAGATGTTGATTTCCTATTATCACAATTACCAGCAAAATCAGAATCTACAAATCCTTTTAGTTTAATCCCAGTTTTCCTTTTTCCAAACATTATAGCAAAAGCAAGACCAGGCCTTTTGCAAACCTTAAGATATCTAAGTAGTCATTTCATGCATTCCCAGTGTTGTTCACCAGGATTACTCATATATCTACTTAATACACTTATAGCAACAGCAAGATCAGGCCTTGTGCAAACCATAATGTACATTACTGAACCTACATCATTTGCATAAGGGATTTTATCCATTCTATTTTTTTTTGTTTCAGTTTTAGGATAGTGTTCAGTAGAAAATTTAAAATGACTACCAAGTGGTAAGGTAACTTCTTTTGCTTTATCCATAACAAATTTATATAGAATTTTGGAAATATATGTCTCTTGAGTTAGAAATAGTATGTAGTCACTTCTATTTCTCCTAATTTCCATTCCTAAGATTCTTTTAGCTGATCCTAGGTCTTTCATTTCAAACTCTTGTTTTAACCCTTGCTTAATATTATTTATTTCAGTTACATCACACCCAACAAGTAACATATCATCAACATAAAGCAAGAGATAATAAGAATTAGGACCTCCACCACCTCTATAATAGAAGCAAGGATCATATTCACTTCTATTAAAATCAAGACCTTTTATGAAGGTATCAAACCTGATATACCACTGTCTAGGGGCCTGCTTCAGCCGATAGAGTGATTTTTGCAAAAGGCACACCCAGTTTTCCTTTCCCTTTTGTTCAAAACCTTTTGGTTGGGTCATGTAAATTTTTTCTTCTAAGTTACTATGTAAAAATGCAGTTTTTACATCTAAATGTTCTAGTTCAAAATCAAATTGTGAAACAATACAGAGAAGAATTCTTATAGAAGTGTATTTGACTACAGGAGAAAAAATTTCATTATAGTCAATTTCTTCTCTTTGGTTAAAGCCCTTTGCAACTAGTCTAGCCTTGAATCTAACATTTTCTTCTTTTGTGTCACTTTCTTTGATTTTATAAATCCATTTACAGTCAATGACCTTCTCCCCTTTAGGTTTGGTAACTAAGACCCAAGTCTTATTTTTTTCAAGTGATAGCATTTCATCTTTCATTGTTGCAAGCCAGGAATTTGAATTTTTCCCCCAATGGCCTCTTCATATGAATTAGGTTCATTGCCTAAAAAATTCTGAATGTTTAGGGCAGTGACAAGGTCTAATTCATTATATCTAGTAGGTGGTCTTATCTCCCTTCTTTCTCTATCTCTGGTAAGTTGATAGTCCTCTAAAGAATTTATTGGTGGAGCAAGTTCAGGTTCAGATTCAGGTTCAGGGATTATTTCCTGTTCATGAGTAGGCTCCACCTCAATCTGGTCTTAATTTCTAGGTCTGAGATAGCTGGAGAGATATCAGATTGAAGATATAAATCATTTTCATTAATTTGAGGGTCTGTAGGGACTTTTTCTTTAGTACAAGGCATGTTTGTTTCATTAAAAATGACATTCCTACTTATTATGACCCTATAACCTCCTTAACCTTTAACCCAGATTTTGTATCCTTTTACACCTTCCCCATATCCCAAAAAATATCTTTAATAGATCTAGGTTCAAGTTTGCCCTCATTTTGGTGTACATATGCTGCACCATCAAAAACTTTCAGTTTGGAATAATCAACTGGATGACCATTCCAAACATGGTCAGGTGTTTCATAATTCAAAGATTTTGTGGGGCATTTGTTTATTAAATATGATGCAGTTTTAACAGCTTCCTCCTAGAATAGTTTTGGAAGACCTGCACTAATTAGCATGCACCTAACTCTATTTAATAGGGTTCTATTCATCCTTTCTGCTAGACCATTTTGTTATGGGATATAGGTAACAGTCCTATGCCTTAAAATTCCATTGTTATTACAGAAATTATCAAATTCCTCATTGCAGAATTCAAGACCATTGTCAGTTCTGAGAGCTTTAACCTTTTTATTCACCTGATTTTCAATTAAGGTTTTCCATGTTATGAAGTTTTGAAAGGTATCAGATTTATTTTTCAAAAGAGTAACCCATGTCTTTCTTGAAAAATCATCAACAACCAGTAAATAATATTTGAAACCAGAATAGGTATTCACAGTAACTGGTCCCCACAGATCAGCATGCAGATATTCAAGTATAGACTTAGATTTTTGGACACCTGTGCCAAAGGGGAGTTTCCTTTGTTTTTCATAAATGCAATGTTCACAAAAAGACACTCTTTCAATTTTTTCATTTCCTAAGAGACCTTTTTTTTAAGAATGTGTAAACTCTTATCACTCACATGTCCTAACCTTCTATGCCATATTTCAGATTTATCAGGTTAAGATACTACTGTAGAAATTGGTTGACTGATTATTGGCAAGGTTTTTAAAACATAGATCCCATTGGATTTTTCAACACAAGCAAACTTTATAAAGTTCTTTTGTAAATTCAAAAAACCTTTGTTTATGGTTGTATCAAAACCTTCATCATCTAGTATACCTAAAGAGATCAGATTTCTCTTTAGTTTGGGAATGTATCTGATCTTGTTTAGAGTCAATACATTTCCATTTTCTAGTTTTAAAATAACTTTGGCAATACCTTTAATTTTGCAGGTAAAGTCATTTCCCAATATCGCTTGACCCCCGTTAATTTCAAGAAAATTAGTAAAGTATTCTTTGCAGGGTGTCATGTGAAATGTACACTCTGAATCAAGGATCCATTCATCCTTGACTATAGATTGACTAGTCACATAGACTTGTCCATTTGAGCCCGCAGCTTCCTCATAAGCAATTGCAGCTCCACCTTCAATTTTATTGATGTTTTTCAGTTCATCAATCCTTTTCATGTAGTCTTTTATAAAATGACCCATCTTTCCACAAAAGTAGCATTTCTTTCCTTTTGCCTTATTATTATTATAATTGAATTTGGCTTTACCTTTATGAAAATTTCCATTGTATTCTTTTGTTTTTTCAAAAATTTTATTTGAAAAGTTATTGTTGTTTTTTTTTGAATTGATTATTTCCTCTGACATTGTAACCAAAACCAACAGAGGAAGATTTGGATTCACTTTGAAACTCCAGTTCTTTATTTCTTAAAGAAGTAACAATAATCTCCACAGTAATGGAGGTTCTTCCATATTCAAGAGCATTTCTTAAATCTTTATATTTTTCAGGTAAATCAGATAATAAGGCTACTGCCTGTTGTTCATCAGAAAGTGTTTCACTACTGTTTGTGAGATCTTAAGTTAATTTGTTAAATCTGGCAAGATTTGCTTCAAGATCAAGATGTGAATCAAATTTGAAACTAAAGAATTGTTTCCAAATAACATTTATTGGGGAGTGATTTTGTTTTATAAAGTGATTCAAGTTTAGTCCAAATTCCTTCAGCAGTCTCAGTCTTGCCTACTTCTCTAATGACACTATCAGACAAATGCAGGAAAATCAAACTCCATGCAGTATCACTTTGTTCATTTCTTTTTCTTTCTATGACTTCTTCTTCCCAAGACTCATCCAGTGCTTTCACACACTTATGTTGCATCAAAAGTGTCTTCATCTTTTGACTCCAAAGAGTAAAATCCCCTTTTCCATTCCAAATTTCTATATCAACTTTAGTACTTGTCATTATTTTTAAAAATTTTTTTTAACAAACTTGATTGATCAAAGCAGATTGTGATATGCAATGTAAAAAAATTTATATGCACCAATGTATAAACAAAGTATTAGTGTGCAGATGACTCTCACACAAGTGCACAGGATATACAACGCAGTGAGCAGGTAAATCAGATAACCAATAAACCATAAAACAGTTATTTTCAGTCAACAAATTTAACATCTAATCTTGAAGAGGCCGTTAAACCCAGTCTCCTCAGATTCTAGGGTTCTCATATAAAACCCTAGACAAAGGTAGATCCAGGTGGGCCTTCAACCAAGAACAGTAGAGTTATTTGAAGAATCGAAAAAATTAGGTTTAGGGTTTAAAAAACTCGTTACCAGAATTGTCTCAGGCCAATAGTGTAAAATAGTGAATACCAGAACTATTTTACTTTCCAGCAGAAAATAGTGAGTCGAACGCTCACTGAAGTAGTACCACAAAGGTAATGGTTTTTAACCGTCAAGAAAAGCACCAATGAGCCAAGAACCGGATTATATATTAGATCGACGACGCTCTGATACCACTGTTGGTATTAATAGTCCCAAAACTTGAAGTAAAATCACAGAAATTAAAAGAACACGATAATTTTTCGCCCGTAAGCCCTGATGTATACCCAAGAATGGGCTACGTCACCACGTTGAGCTTCCACCGAAATGGTTAACGCTCTAATCCACTAGAAACCAACAATAGAGTGTCAATACAAGTTTACAAACTTCAGATCTACCAAAGATCAGCCCTCAAACCATGTTTTTCTCTCACAAACACGAACGGCAGATTACATCAAGTAATCGTGCCTTACAGTTCACCAAAGAACAGACACAATCTCAACACAAATACACCAAGCTAGATCTCACCAAGAGCATCTAAAACAACTCAAAGATCGCAACCAAAAAAACTAGGGGTTTTTATAGAGAAGAAAAATTACAGAGAGCAAACACGAAGAACAAACCCTAGAAGACTCTCGAACATGCGCAAAGGAAAATTCTAGGGTTAGTATAATGAAAAGCCAGATTCATCCAACGGTTCAACCGACTCCACTGGCACAATCTGCTCCGTCCAATTAAAATTGAATAGAATCGTATTTTTGGAGGAACACGAGTTTGCACAGAATGGGGGCAAACCGGGTCACAAGCTTGGGCTCAGCTATTGGGTTCAATCATTGGGCCATAGGTGTTAAACATTTTCTTAACAGATTTTTTATTCTAGGGTTTCTGGTATTTTTTGAATGTCGTAGAAACATCTTGGATTTTAGTTATTTTACACGGGGGTTTCTTGATTTTGTTAAATGAAGTTATTCTTTTCCTTTTACATTTCTCTCTTTCATGTATTTGATTATTCGGCATCGTGGAGTTTTTCTGTAAAATGCAAAATCCGGGTTAAATTTCTGAAGAGGACTTGAATTTTGCCATTTGTAGATTTAGAACTTATTTTAGATGACATATGTACAAAATATTTAATTTAAAATCATCTGCCTGATTCTTTGTATTTTGTTACCGTTATCTGATTCTTGAACGTCTCGAATCATTCATCTTTATTTCTCAATGTTGACCCTTGTTCTTCAATGTTTTATGTTATAGAGTTTAATCACTAAGCCTATGTTTGGCTCAGGTTTATAAACTGGTTATAAATCCCCAGGGTCACATTTTATCCACATATTTCACTATCCGCTGAACAGCTTATTTGGAAATTTGGAAGTTTGAATTTTCAAATTCTGAATTAAAATTTAAGGAAGCTTAGCCTACGAAGGTATACATTTCTAAATTGTATATATTTCTCACAAAATTTGAGTCCATTTTGTCCTTCCTTTATACGTTCAAAGATGGAATTGCCACTGTCATTACATTCCATGTGATTGCCCATCTAACACGTTCAAGGGAATTTTCGACATTTCTATATTCTATTGGGGGGGGCGGGGGAGGGGGGACGTGCACCCCGAGTATTTGAATTTTATAATACATGTCATTGGACAATGGGACCCACACTCAAAGCAAAAATAAGTGATTTTTTGAAAAAGCTCCACACACAAGCTTATCCACCAACATTTCTACCGATTTATAATTTAAACCGAGTATAAACACTTACCAAGCAAACCTTAAACATACATCACTCTTGATCACATGACATGCCTGATTCACTTATGATTTCACACTTGATTAAATTGCATTTCCAATTCGTGCTAATATTTTGTTACCTGAATTGTCATTGGATGCTGGTAATGATTTTGCTGACACGGTTCTTTTATAAAGGTTTTTTGTGGTAACATGGGAAATAAGACTCAGCCTGTTATATCAAAATGCAAAGACGGCGAGAATTGGACAAAGGCCACATTTAAGCCAGACTTAGCCAAGTTCAACATGACTCATCTGGAGGATGATGTTATTGCCCTGATGAAGAAGAGGGTGGTTGACATGGCAGGATGCCTTGGAAAGACTGTGAAAGTGGAACTGAATGGTGAAGACATTAGGGTCAAATCTTTTGGTGAATATTGCAACCTTTACTTGAAATATGCTTTCAGGTCCAGCCTAGATCTATCTCACTGTTTTGTCTCATTTTATCTGGATTGCTTCTTTTGGTCATTTTGAGATTACTAATGATATTATAATTTAGCAGAATAGAAGAGAAGGTAGATAGGTGGGAAGTTTGTGTAAGTCTGAGCGATGGACAATTTCAACAGGTATGAGAGTAAGAATTGTTTTCCAGGTTAAAATATAGTTACAATTGTAGTTGAGAACTTTTCTTCTTCGGTACTTGTGGAAAGGAAGGCAAAACTCATTTATGAGAAATAAAATTGTAAAGTTGCTAATACACCGGTTAATTTTACCAGGTCAGCTTTGTAAATTCGATTTCAACAATTAAGGGTGGGACACATGTGGATTATGTAACTAATCAGATAACAAATCATCTTGCTGAGTATGTTAACAAGTAGAAAAAGAATGCCAACCTCAAACCCCATTCCGTGATGAACCATTTGTGGGTGTTTGTTAATTGCCTTATTGACAATCCTCCTTTTGATTCTCAAACCAAAGAAACTTTGACGCTTCGCCAGAAAAACTTTGGTTCTGAATGTAAACTCTCAGATAAGTTCCTCAGTAAAGGTATGCGATTGTTACTTTTTCAAAATACCTGTTGTGTGATTACTTCGTTAGATGTTGGTAATGACATTCATTGGTTAACTCTGGACAGTGACAAATTCTGAGATAGTGAGCAATATCATGGAATGGGCAGAGTTCAAGGAGAAAAAAGACCTTAAGAAAACTGACGGAACAAAGAGCAAGAGAATATCTGGGCTTACAAAACTAGCTGATGCTAATGATGCTGGAGGGAGAAACTCTGAGAAATGTACCCTAATTTTCACAGAAGGAGATTTGGCAGCCACTCTTGCTGTAAGTATGCTCAAGAGTTTTGAAATATTCACTAGAAGATATTTATATTCGGAGCTAATTTTAATAGCTCTGAATCTTGCAGATTGCTGGACTATCAGTTGTGGGGCGAGATCACTATGGAGTGTTTCCCCTAAGGGGTAAATTGCTAAATGTTAGGGATGCAGGTACTAAGCAGATCAATGACAATGCTGAAATTCAGAACATCAAGAAGATTCTTGGATTGCAGCATAGCATGGTAACAGTACGACAGCATCAAATCTCTGAGATATGGCCACCTGATGATAATGACTGATCAGGTAATGTGGTCCTATTCTTGGCTAATTCCTTCCTTCATTTTTCATGCTACTCAATACTATAATGATGGGTGGACTTATCTACCAAAATTCAACTTTGTACATGTGCAGGATCATGATGGTTCCCATATCAAGGGGCTATTAATTAATTTCATCCACTCATTCTGGCCATCATTGCTCAAAATTCCTTCTTTTTTGGTTGAGTTCATTACACCGATTGTAAAGGTTTATATTACTGCATACTTGCCTCAATTCTAAAATTAATATGTGATGTATTCGATTTTTGTTTAAGTTTTTAATTGTGTTACACAGGCTACTCATAAGAATGGGGAGAAAAGGTCATTTTATACAATGCCCGAGTACGAATCATGGAAGGAAAGTTTGGGAGACGGAGCAAGAAGTTGGTCTATAAAATACTACAAGGTTTTATTCTTGATATATCATAATATATCAGATATATTAAGCCCTTGTTTGACTCCCCTTAAAACAAAACAATTTATTTTTCATATTCATTTTCAATCATGCATTCACATAATAAAATATTTTTCACGTAAACCCAAAATTTTTAACCATACACTATCCCAAAAAAATCACTATTCAAAATAATTTCCATTAAACAAGGGCTAAGCATTTTCAAGGCTTCTTTGTTTAAATTTATAATAAGACCTTGTTTGATTTTGATAAAAATTAATTTTTTCGTAAATTTTGATAAAATTTGTAGGTTTCATAAAATTTGTGGTTGAAAATGAATTTGAAAAAAAATGAGTTCTAAAACAGGGGCTAAAAAATGGTTATAGATTTGTACTGTATCAATTAATTTTGTTTTTGAATTTCCAACTTCATTGTAGGGGTTAGGAACAAGCACAGATAAGGAAGGGAAGGAGTACTTTAAGGATCTTGGGAAGCACAAGAAGGACTTTGTCTGGGCGGATGACCGTGATGGGGAGGCAATAGAACTTGCTTTCAGCAAGAAGAAGATAGAAGCCAGGAAAAATTGGCTTAGGCAGTTTGAGGTTGGGATCTGAGTACTGGATATCAGTTTAGCTTAGAAAAAATTTGATGGCTACTATTTATAACAATAGTGTGAAGGAATTTCTAAAACACTTCTGGCTTTCTTGTATTGCAGCCTGGCACTCACCTTGATCAGGAATCGTGACTTTGTCAACAAGGAACTTATACTGTTTTCAATAGCTGATCTTCAGAGATCAATTCCTTCCATGGTTGATGGATTGAAACCTGGTCAAAGAAAGATTCTTTTCTGTGCATTTAAGAGAAACTTTGTCCATGAAGCAAAAGTTGGCCAATTTGCTGGTTATGTATCTGAGCACTCAGCTTACCATCATGGTGAGCAGAGTCTTGCTAGTACCATTATCGGCATGGCTCAAAAATATGTGGGAAGCAACAACATAAATATTCTGAAACCGAATGGTCAATTTGGTACACGAAATCAGGTGAGATGTCAATATCTTTTTTGGCCCCAACCATTCAGTAAACTTTCAATTTGATCATGACACGTTAATATGAACTTGTGCAGGGTGGCAAAGATCATGCAAGTGCAAGATATATATTCACTCAGCTTTCTGCTATTACACGATTTCTATTTCCAAAGGATGATGACATTCTACTGGATTACCAAAATGAAGATGGGCAAACAATTGAACCTACTCGGTAAATTTTTGTGCAAGTTAGTGATGAAGGAGGAAGACCTGTTTGCCCATAATTGGAATGCTATTTTTTGTTTATGATCTAGGTATGTGCCAATCATACCATTGGTTCTGGTGAATGGAAGTGAAGGAATAGGGACGGGATGGAGTTCATTTGTCCCTAATTATAATCCACGTGACATTATTGCCAATGTGAGGCATATGTTGAATGATGAACCAATGGAGCCTATGGATCCATGGTATGATGGATTCAGAGGAACTATAGAGAAAACAGCAACAAAGGAAGCTGGGGCAACCTACACTGCTACTGGAATTATAGAGGAAGTCAGTGATACAACACTAAGGATTACAGAGCTTCCAGTTCGGAAGTGGACTCAGGATTACAAGGACTTTCTAGAGTCCCTTTATCCATTCATTGAGGTATTCTACATGTCCATATGAAGTTAATGTGTTTCGGAGTTAATAATCTAAACGAGGCTTGACTTTACATTTTCAGGAAGTGAGGGAGTACCATACTACTGATTCTGTGAATTTCGAGATTGATTTGTCTGAGGAGAATATGATGGTAGCCAAGCAAGAGGTCATTATGTCCAAACTGTGATGGAGGTTTTGTTCAGGAGCTTGACGATATATTGAGCACGACTACTGAAAATCATGACCAGAGACAGAGGCCGAGGTTTATGGAAGCTGTCTCGAATTTTCTCAGACAACAAATGACTGTTAGAAGCAACGTGACTGATGGCCGAGGGAGATCTGAAGAGGGTCCTCTGAATGGTAACTCATGGAATTCACTCCTAGTTTTTAGTGGTGATATGCCAGTAAGGATGCCTGACAGTGGTGGGCTCTTAGAGTTTCTTAACGACGCTCTTGGATTTAGACAAGAGAATGGTGGCGATTACTTTATCGGCCCTGGAGTGGAAGAATTTTTTGAGCACATTACGAGCAACAATCAAAATGTTCCTCCTCCAGCTTCAAGATCCTTCATTGATGCCCTGCCGACAATCAAGATTTCAAGAAAGCTTGTCCGTTCTGATTCGACCTGTGCTGTTTGCAAAGAAAAATTCGAATTGGGTTCACGAGTGACAAAGTTACCTTGCAAACATCTATATCACTCGGACTGCATTGTTCCGTGGCTACTACAACGCAGTTCGTGCCCAGTTTGTCGCCAGGAGCTAACTCCTCAGCAATCAAGTAACGGGTGCAATAATTACCATTCTAGGGGACAAAATAGAAGCTGGAGCAGGAGATTTGGTAGTCGAGAGAACAGAACTGAGAATCCAGGCAGGAGGAGAAGATGGTCTTTCTTATGGCCTTTTGGATCATCTCGCTCCGAATCTGGCCATAATGGAACAGCCGAACCTAGTTCAGTCGTCTACCACGAACATAACCAACACTCGGAGAACTCGCATTGGCCTTTTGAATATTAAGGTCACTCAATTTCAAGAATTTCCTGCTCTCTTATTCTTTGTAATCATAATGTTCCACACTTCGACCGGCTCTAGTTGAGCAACTAGATCTGCTGTGGAAAAGTAAGCGTTCCATTCATAGTTTCGTCTACTGACTGGAATTTGTCTCATAATGGCCAATCAAAAGCACTCTTAATGTATATGCACTTTCGATTCTCTTCATATTGCTGCTCTGGCCTCTCTTTCAGTATCTAGTTTTAGTCATCGTTAACAGCTTTTGTGCGTGTCACAGTATCCCGTTTCTCGAGGCTCAAGGCTACGTTTCTCTTGAGCTTCCGTTTAATTTCTCATTGAAAAAGAAAGTAACTGATATAGTGTGTCTGCAGTTTCCATGTCGAAGTCTATAATTGTATGCTGCCTGTGATTTTTGTTTCGTTTTAAGAACTTGAACTGCAAGAATTGTACTTGAGCCAAAATGTTATATCCCAGCCAGGGCCGGGGCCTTTATGCTAATTTCAAATATGAGGTCCATATATTTTTAACATTTTTACGTAAAGTTTTAATATAATTATAAAGAATTTAATATAAACAACTAAATTCCAAAAATTTAAAGGGAAAATTAACAAAATGTCAAATTTCAACATGCAATACAAATAATAAGTGAAGTTCGACAAACGGAATTACAATGCAATAGGAAAATGATCTGTTTGTTTCTTTGATTATTTTTTCACTGCAATTATTACAAATAAAATTGAATATACATTTGAGTGATTTACGTACAAAATTGGAGAATATTGACTGCAAGAGATTTTATAACAAAATAATGAAAATGACAATCAAATACAAATGAACTTCTAATTTTATATTAATTCATAAGAAATTAACTTACAAATAAGAAGTATTTCGTTGAACACGGATAATGAATTATTAAATTCAAAGTACTTTCACCAAATATCTTAAAAGACTTCATGAGACTAAAACAAAACAATATTACTCCATAGTGTGTGTTTAGAAGATAAGAAAAAGAAAGAAACATGTAAAATTGTAATAATAGCGGTTGGATCAAATTAATCTACTAAATTGAATTTTCAAAATTTTAATTTAAAAGGAGATAATTTATTTCTTATAGGGCTAAAAAATAATGTTGTCTGACTGTTGGACGTTGAATTTGAAAAGATAGAAAAAAACCTTTTGCTTAGTTAAGAAAAAAAATGAATGCTTGGAAGATAAATGATCAAATTGGTTATAAAGAGATAAAGTAATGTTTGTTATATATTTATATGATAAATAATTGTTAAGTGACAAGTTTTTTTGCTATTTATTTTAAAGATTTTTGTATTTTCAAATTTTATTAGTTTGTTGTGTTTGCATATGATGATTTTGTTTTATAAAATTTCATAAATATAATTTTAATTTTTCTTCAACCAACCAATTAATTTTACATAATTTGAGACTCTCATCCAAGTGGGACCTTAAGTATCGCCTACAGGGCTGCCACTGCTCCCAACATGGACTTGATCGAAGGCCCTAACTAGTAATGTAAATAAGAAGCGGTCACACCTTAATACCTTATACACACTTAAGCCGAACATTCGTTGTCCTATTTCTTAATTAAAGTTGGCATTGATCATTTTCTCGAATTAGATGCATTTCTAGACAGTGTTGTCCTCTTTCTCGATCCACATTCTTCAGGGAATTTTTTTTAATGAAATGAACTTTTATTAACTTTTCAATCATACATTTTATTAACTTTTAACAAAAATTACTAAAAATTAGGGCTGTAAGCAAAAACCGTCAAACCAGAAAATCAAATCGAAACCGCATTTTAGAACACGTCGGTTTGGTGCCACGTGGACTCGGTCAACGAAATGTTTTGAACCAAACCAAACTGGTCAAAATGGTTTGGTTTAAGTTTGAGAATTTTGATTGCGGTTTAAAACCAAACCGAACCAGCGAAAAAATATATAAAAATAAAAACATGAAATTTTTTGAAAATTCATCCAAATATGTAAAATTTAATAGTTTTGTCATTTGTGGGTATTTTTGTCGATTTCTAATTTTCTAATACAGATATATTATTATTGTCCAATAATCCTAATTTATATTTAATAATTTCAAAACTAACATAATATATCAAAAGTCATTTTCCTCTTCATAATTTAAATGAACTTCAGCCAACACCCAACACAGTCTTGAGCCACCAAGATCCCACACTTCTTTTTTCATATTTTTCATGCCTTTTCAAAGTTGAATTGAAGTCCATTATACCAAATCGAAGACAAAGAAATTATAGACTTTCGGTGATAATATTTGCTATGAATAAAGTTTCAAATCAATAATTTTTTTGTAGCAAACTAAGGTAAGAATCTGAAATTAAATATATTTCGTAACATCATACAAACGTAAATTTGTGTAATTGTTATATTTAGATATTATAAACAATTGCTTTATTATTATGATTAGTTATTCTTTTTGTCTAACCATTATCTTTTTTTTTTTATATATGATGATCACGAGGTCTCGTTGGGTATCATTATACTTTTGAGGCCTTATATCTAGTTTAGTAGACTTGTATTGTAACGCTATTATATCGTTATTTGTTTAAAAAAAGTGAACAAAAATGAAAAAAACTATGTTTTAGTTTATTATGATTTCACTTTGATTTAATTGATATTTAAATTTATAGTAGACATTTTTTGAGTCATATATTTCATATCCTCATAATGAGAAAATTGACAGTTGGAGAAAAGGCTTGCTCCTACACATTAAACAACAGGTCAGCAAAGACGATTGAACTTGTAGTATAACGATCCAACTTTTTATTTTTTTGTCCCAAAAATTTAGTTCAAACAAGGATTTAATTTGTTTTAGATTTATTGCTAATAAGATATAAATATATGTTGAATTCAATGAATTAATAACATAAAAATAAACAGGCAAAAAAATATATGACAAAATCAACGATTTAAAACTGGACCTCACAGTTAGATTTCAGTTTGAAGTTTTTTCAAACAGTTCAAAATGATTTGATTTATGTTTGAATTTTTCTCAAACTAATTTAAACAGTTTGATTTGAAAATTTGTCAAAAATCGATAAAACCGGACCGCTTACACCCCTACTAAAAATACTGACTTTTAGCTAAACCAAATAGGGGCTAACATGATTAAACATGTTCATAGCAGACCACGTACTCATACTGTACTTGAGAACAAACAAGAACTGAAAAATAAAAAGAAAAACCACGGCAGTTTGGATATCGATATTTCATCTTTTCAAGTACATTCATATGAAAAAGGTACTCTCCACTTCAAAACACAATTTATGCAACATGATGCCCTAAAAAGAGTAAATGAGCTGCATGTAAAGTTTTTCTAGTTTGTGAGCTCCATGATAGCAGAGACAATGTCTCCATCAGACTCCTTGAGAGCTTTGACAGCCCGAGCTCTTGAAACCCCAGCTTGAGTCATCACCAGCTCTATATCCTTCGGTTCAACACCAGTTTCATCTACGTCTTCATCATCCAGAGCAACTGTCACTGGCTCAGGCTTTGGAGCAATATTGCTGACATTAGGAGCCTTGAACTGCTCGGCAGCTTGTGTCTGCAACTGTGAACTCAAATCCTCAATCTTTGCCTCACCAAAGATGATGTACGTGTCTGAATTGGGGCTCTTGAATACATCTGGCTTCGAGATGACAAACAGGATCTGAAACACGAGTATCGGAAAAACATAAGTCTCAGTTGACACATAAGGTTAGACACATAAGGTTATGGTCAGAGTCAGGGGCCTTCAAAAAGTCAATTAGAAAAAAACTATCAAAGAAAACAAGTGAAAAGACAGACGTTCTTGCTCTTCTTAACAGTTACACGGCTGACCCCAGGGATGGGCTTCATTCCTAGTTTTAGCATAGCCTTGCGACTCTTTTTCTCACTGCGGCTCTGCTTTGACCTACCACTGGCATCTCCATCTCCTGTCAAGAGTTACCAGTATTATATTCATTGATCAAAACACAAAATTGTGCCTCTACTTTTAAGGACGGACTAAAATATAAAATGAATAATTGAGTTTTAGCTCGTCCATACAGACCGCTCAGACTAATAAAACCAGGGGACTATCCTGGAAATGCAATAACAGGTTTAGTAGGCATATTTGCTCAAATGATACATTTTGATATCTAGTTTTCCACCTACAAGTGAATCAAATCATGAATTTTAACAAAGTGCAAATAGAGTTTATAACGGCTTTGCATGCATTCTAGGTGGAAGGTGGCTCAAAAATATTTGAGCTTTCTCTTCATGTCTTTTGGGCAAGAACAGTTGAAGCTGCACATCCTACAGTTGTATTGGAAGTTTTAATGCGGAAAAGTTTTACCTTTCAACCACTTTAGCAGTACGCTTGGATGAACTTTGAACCAGTTCTTTTACATATTTCATTTTAACAAGATTGCGTACCAAAACTAAAGGATTGCCAAACTGGACACTGAAAACCAATTGCATAACCCAAGGTATGCACAAATTAGCTCTAATTCACTCAGTAGAAACCATTTCTTTTTCCATTAGAAGAAATAAAATAGATAAATAGGGTATCATTCAGTAAACGAAAAAGGAGAGAAACCTTGATGCTTTTAACATTATATGAAAATATACATATAATGTTTAAATAGCATAAGGAATAATCAAGATTTTCCCCATATCAAATAACTATCAAGAGTTAAAGAGTTCAGTGCATATAATTTCCACAAACTCATGAGGGACGCTTAAACCAAATAATAATCATCTTGAGGGATATGTATATGTTCCACAACATTGACTTTCAACCACTGAGCTTCAGTAATACAACGCATGTGATAGATTTATAAATCAAGATTTGCAGAACCTGGACCACAGAGTCACAGTAATGAGTCATGGTTGTAAACATACCTTCAGCACCTTCTTCATGATCATCCTCTTCATCATCTTCTTCATCGTCATCATCATCATCCTCAATTATTGGCTCTTCCTGCTGCAACAATAAGTGAAACTCAATAAATAATCTATTTTTTGCTGCATGTGTGTCCCTTTTTGTACACACACACACACATATATAGAGGGAGCAGGGAGCCGGAATTAATTATATCCTACGACACAAACAAATACTTGAAGGCAATCAAATGAGAGGTCTCCATTGCTCCAGCATTAGTACCTTACCACCCCAGAGGCATGTATAGAAACATAAATGAAGTGGCCCTTGAACTTTATATGGCTCTGAATTGGTTCCTTTGAACCATTTTTAGCATGCAAATGTGTCATGCACAGAACAATATAGCACCACTCCTATATATCCATATTCACACGAAGACTCAAACGCATAAGTTAGAAATTAGAAGTTGCGAAATTTGTATGGCATAAGCGATATAACAAAGCGCAATCGGAGAATTGAACTCAACAGATCCTTCAAAGTGGAGCAACAGAAATAGCTATCAAAGAAGCAGTGATAGAGAAATGTCAACTAAGGGCCTACTTGGGAGTTTTTTTTTTTTTTACCGATTTTGATCGATTTTGGGTGGCGCCGTTTATGAGGGGGTTGGAAAAACTGGTGATCGTTTGTTTTTTAGACACCATATACCGATTCGATCCGAGCTCTTGGAATTGAAAAAACCGGTGATTGTTAGTTTTTTTTTAGACACCATTCTCTCAACCCATCAAATTGGCAGGTTTTGATAGTTTCTCATATTCTCTTCTAATTTTAACCTTTATAAAATAATTATTTCCAACCAACATATTTTCTTCAAAACTAACTTGTAAATAAAAATATATTAACTAAAAAATTATTCTTAAGCAAAAAAATTAAATTATAATTAAAAAATTACTTATAAGATTAAAAAAAAAAAAAATCCCATTATAATTAAAAATTACTTATGGTAAAAAATCACTCTAATGTGAAAAATTGTTTATAAAATAATAATACTACTAATAAAACAAAACTTCACTTATAAAAATTCAAAATTTACTTATAAGTAAATATTAACTTAAAATTTTAGGTAAATATTTAAATTCATTTAATTTTTTAAGTTAAATATTAACTTAAATATTAACTTATATGAAAAAAAAAATTATCTATAAATAAAATATCACTTATGAGATAAAAATTCCATATATGTTCTTTTAAAAAACTTTCAAAACCGATGGATAATAGACTCCCATGCATAAGTTGGACAGTTTTAAAAATTACTAATAAACCACTTAAAATCAATTCACTCATAAACACTCAAAACTGGTACTTTAGACAATGCTCATAATCAGTATGTCGAAACACCAAAGCAGGCCCTAAGGATATTTGTTCCCAATGTAATTAGTCCTCCTTGCAGGTGTTATTGATAGGCAACACGGGCTAAAAACATTGTGCATATGGAATAAGATACACCATTTAAGATACCATACAAATCCAAAACAAGGAAAAAAATCACATTATGCAACAAAATTGTACCTCAAAACAACATATCTTTTCGATCATTACAGTAATGCTAGTAAGATGACCTGCTATGGGCAATGTAAGAACCACACACATACAATAAAATTAAAATAAGAGTAATGGGATATTCTGTATGTTATCTGGACAAATGCTAGATTTTCTTTTGCAAACAATATATTAATCTATGTTCAACGAAGATTATTTTACAAAGCCAACCAATTCATTGTAATCAGACCACAGCACTAAAATATTAGATTTGGTTTTTATAAGCCTTTTTGTTTGACTACACTAATCCGAGAAAACCAGGGTGTGCATTAGACAAGAAACAGATACTAGAAGCTGTAAGAGTAACATCGTAGCAGAAGACAGGTGTCATATGAAAATTGCAATAAAATGTTGCATGGCATTAGGAGTAATAGTTAATGAATCCGTAAACTAGAAGCTGTAAGAGTAACATCGTAGCAGAAGACAGGTGTCATATGAAAATTGCAATAAAATGTTGCATGGCATTAGGAGTAATAGTTAATGAATCCGTAAACTGCACAATCCGTGCCATTCTTAAGATTTAATGAATATTAAATTGGAAATGTAATATAGTAGGTAATTGATTCATGGATGTGCATTCCACCTTAACAAAAATAGATGAAACCTCCTGGACAATCGTAGAAATCCAGGAAGATTCAATATAAATATTATAAAAAAATTTAAATAAAAAATTGGAACGGATGTAAACTAAATATAATCATTTCTTAGTCACTCACTTGTTCCATACTTATGCTTCCTGAGATTTTACATTTCTTCTTTAAATTCAATCAATTGCAAAACCATTGACATATCCGCTCTCTTCTCTTTGTATTCTATCCTTCAGTTTACTTACAAACTAAGTCTAACCTTTTAATACACACACAAGCCTTCCAATTGCTTTACTTTCATCAAAGCATTTATGCTTTATCTGATACAAATCATACTCAGCTTTGCCTTTTCTTTTTCCATTTTTTTTTTGGCAAAAATTAAACTAAAATAAACAATTTAAATTGACACAAAAAAAAATTTAATACCCAAAAAGCTAATAAAGTCTAAAACCCAATGATATTCAAAGTCTCATACAATCAGTGTCTCGGAGTGTGTGTGATAGAGAGAGAGAGAGAGAGAGAGAGAGAGATTTACATCGAGCTTTTGTTGTTCAAGCTGAGCGGCCATGATTTCCTCTTGCGATTGAGCGGTCATGATTGGTTATCGGCGAGAGATGGGAGAGAGTTTGGGCCGAGAAGACGACGACAGGCTTAAAACCCTAGATATTTAGAGGGTAATAAAGAATGCAATATGACTTTACAGGTGGAAAGCTGTAAGAAAATGGGGAATAAATTCTTCAATTTTGTTGCTCTTCCTTTCTTTTCTTCTAATTTTTTGCATTTTCTTTTATTTTTTGTTTTCCATTATTCATATATGTTAGGGATGCCGTTTTCGATTTTTCAAACGGAAAACGCTTTCTTTTCCATTTTTGAAAATGAATTTTGGAAAAAAAA